GTACCAACAACTGCAGCCTGATGTTTTTTTCTATTAGGATCAGGTGATGTGGGAACGTTTATACTAGTAGTACTTCCTTATTAAAAAAGTCATTTTAAATATAATTTAAAATGATTGTATTTTTAAAGTATATTTTTTGTTGGGGCTCGAGGTCGTACGTCTACATATTTTATCCACCTTATTATTAACGTTTATGAAATTTTCCAAATCTCCGTCGTGGACCCCGGTCTGGTCCAGTGTGTTCCATGATCCTGCTGCAGTGGAAGTGCCTGTGGTGATTCTCCAGTGCTGCCAGTGGGACGCCTGTTAGCATATAAGTGCACTACAGCACATGCTGCTGCGGAGGCAACATGTTCATGCTAATGAGAAGAGAGGGTGTGAGGAGGAAATAGAGCAGATAAATATTCCCAAATTCCACCATCTGAATTTCCTTTTGTTTTTAAAAAAAGTGTTTGGTATTTTATGGTGATGAATATAGTCAATAAAATACACATACATACATTTTTATATAGATATATATTTTGTCATTTTCTTAATTTTCCATATGTTTTATTAATTTTTTGTCATTTTCTTAATTTTCCATATGAGAAACTGTATTTGTTTTACAATTCCTGAGGTCAGCAGCTGGGGGTGTTTATGCTAGGCTAGTATGATAAACGTATTCCTTGTAAAAGTTGCATAAAAATGAGGAAATCGACAGGTGTATAGTGGAACATTATCCAATTTCATTTTATTGATCTGAAATCATTTTTTAATTTATTGCAAATTTACCGCAAATAATAAACAATTAATTACTCTTCTTAATGTGTATCTTTCTTTAATTCCTGTGAGTATATCAGCATTGTGTTCAACTAAACAGGCTCAGGTTTTAAATGTACCTGGTTCAAAAAATGTTTTTTTTTTCCTACTACAACAAGACATTACAAAAAAGCAAAGATATAAAACCTTTGTACCAGGAAGGTGTGTAGGACAGATGACGTTACTTTCAATCATTTAGCACACAAAAATCTCAGTTATTTATATTTCTATTGCAGCATTTTAAAATACAGAAATTGTTTACAGTCTGAATTATATTCATTTTTCCACAATAGGACAAACTTTGCAAAGAAAATATAGGATGGGATTAGATATGGACCAAAGCACGGCTGATTAGATCAGATTTGAACTCCTTAGAGACAGGAGGTTCAGACAGGAGGGCAGGGTGGAATGTGAGTGGATCCTGTTGATCACACACAAACAGGGATTCTCACTGTAGCGCTCGTGCACATGCAGGCAGCTCTATGTATTGTGCCACAAGCTGAAAAACTTCCTGTCCAGACAGGAAATGCATTCTTGTGCACGTCCATCCGTCTGGGATCGTGTGTGTGTGTGTGTGTATTTCTTTTCTTGTGTGTTTGTGTGGAGACTGGCAACAGATGTGTTCTGCTGCTTTCCAGAAGTTATCTCTGGAATGTGTGACTTTCCTTAGTACTGTTTAGTTCCTTTGAATAATATGTTTTTCTGGCCGTGGTCCCCGGTCCTCTCAGGTTACTGGGTCTCGTACTGTACTGTATCGACCCGCTGTTATCTCTCTGTTCAGGCAACAAAACAAAGAGGTTTTTGTAATGTTTAAAGAAAGTTGACGATAAATATCAATCTCGATTAAAGATTAAAAATATTACTTGTTTGACGTGCATTAAAGCAGTCGTAAAAATGCTCGTTTGCCATTTAAGTTTAAACAACTTTATTTCATAAACAATCAATATTTACATGACATATTGACCCAAAGACAGAACAGTAAAAGTAGCATCTAGGCATCCAATGAGCTGAAGTCATCCAGCAAACTGGATCTTAGCACGGCAACGTTGTACACAGCAATAATAATTAAAATAAAAATAATAATAATAATAATAAAAAAAGGATTTACAGTCGACAACAACAGACATTTACAAAACAGATGTGGATCAAAATGAAGCTCTTGAAACAGAACCACTTGGTCGCACAAGTTGCATAAAGAAGATTTTGTGCTGGAGAGGCGAGGCCTTCCATCCTTAAAGCTACAATGTCTCTCTCTTTTTTTTTTTTTTCCAAAAAGCCTTGACCCTCAGCTAAAGCATTAGAACACTGTCGGTTATGTCCGTAGTCTGAGTGCAAGTCCATGTTCAGTGGTGTAGGCAGTGCAGGACTCACAGTCGGAGCTGTAGTTAAACGTTCTAGATCTATATTTACAGTACAGTGCTGGTGATGCAGCTGAAGGAGCCGCTTAATAATCCTTTTTTTGGTAAGAACTGACGATTCTGTCGTCTCTTCTCTGAACAGTTAGAACCACGCCGTCGTCTTCGCTTTGGTCTGATCAAGAACTGAGGAGAGAAGGAAGTGAGGTCAGATCGATTCTGTGGTTTCCTTGGCTTATAGAATCACACAAAAAAAGAAAAAACTCTGTTATCTACCTGAGTCATATGTCTCCAGAGAGCCCTGTAGGGGTGAGGGGGTCCAGGACACAGTTGTCGCCGTCGCCGGGCTGCTGCTACTGTGATCCATCTCTGTCTTCACCTCCTCGCCGTGTGGCGAGCTCCCGGGGTTCGCCGCCGTCTGGTTCTGGTTCCTAACACCAGGCAGCAGCAAAGGATTGAACCTGGGGTCCACTGCGGTGCCGTGTGCCGAGTATGGATGCAGAACTGGGTGGTGGTGGTGGGGGGGGGGGTGGTGGTGGGGGCGGGGGGGGGGCGGGGGGGGGGTAGACGTCGTGGACGTTGGCGTAGCCGCTTGTGCTCTGTGCGTTCAGGTTGTAGGTCCAGCTGTCGGAGAGGTTAGCCGGCGGCGGGAGGCTGGCCTGGGAGAGCATGTGGCTGGCCCACAGGGACCCGTCAGGGTGACTGAAGGGAACCGGGCTGGAGGAGAAGTCCGGGTGGACAGAGACGGAGACAGACGGGAGGCAAGGACTGGTCTGCTGTGGATACGTGGAGGTGTTCCAAACTGAGGCACTTTGGCCCTGCGGCATTGAACTCCCATCTGAAGAGAACACAATCCAAGAACATCAACATTAGAATTTCATTTGGTTCTAAACTTTGAATGTTGTTATTCCACTCCCTCCTCCACTCACCTTTCCATAAGGTGCCAGCCGCAGACGCAGACTGCTGACTCACTCTGATTGGCTTACTCTCGCTGCTGAAGGCACTGGCCTGACTGAGAGCGCGTGAGAAGTGCTCATCAATCACGTCTCCGATGTTTCCTTGGAAGTAGGTGAACAAAATGCACCGGGAGCTCAGGTACTCTGCCTCCGCCGGCTGAGTCCCGTCCTTCAGGTCTGAATCTGGGGTCAGTCTGGATCCAGACTCGAGTCTGGGACCGTGCCGTAGGTCCTGATCTCTGGACATCACTCGTCTTCCTCCTCCTCCTCCTCTGTGCTGCTCCTGATGCTGCTCCATACACTCTTGCATCTTGTTATAAACACTTAACTTCCTCTGGAGAGGAGAGAGAGAGAGAGAGAGAGAGAGACCCAATAAGATTCAGTCATGAATGATGAGCAGTCAAAAAAAAAACAAAAAAGGAAAAATCAGCCGTTTTTGGTATTTATTTAAGGTTACGATGTTGTGAATCATCTTTTTTATTACCAAAAAAACAAAAAAACAATTTTGCAAAAACTAGTTTGCTTCTTTAGTTTACAACAGAAATGTTTGACAGGTGGAAACATATCGTCGAGGAATGTGAATCAATGTAATCACAGTTTGATATGAAATAATATCATTTGCACAGTTTTAACTTCCCCATGTGTTGGAAACAGTTCTAAGAGCAATATATATGAAAATAACAAAATGATTTCACATCATTTCAAAGACTTTTCCCAGGTGTGCATAGAGAAGTCAAACAGTTCTAAGAGAAATATATATGAAAATAACAAAATGATTTCTCCACATATTCTCTCCTAAAGGTCTAAAACACTTCCACGATCAGTGTTTCCCTAAGAGAATTCCTTCTTTATAGAATTCCAGGGAACGTCTTTCTCACCAAGTCACAAACAAACGAGAGTTCTAATTCTTCAAATTCTTTTTCAGTTTTGGGAGCAAAAAAAAAAAAAACATTGGCAGGGGTTCAAGAATCTTTGAAGGTCAGTGTGTGACAAAGATATAATGATAGAACTTGGCAAAGCTGTTGAGATACTTTAGAAATGTGACTTAACGACGAAAATATATTTGTCTTAGAACTTTTTGACTTGCCCCAGTACAGACTACAATGCCCAGGGACCGTGGCTCACTTTCTGAAAATCACACAGAGACTACAGAACTTAAGTAACAGTATGGATTGTGATTTTTTTTTTTTTTTTTTTTTTTTTTTTCTCTGGGTTGGGGGGCAAGCTGGAATCAAACCCCTAACCTACTGCCTGGCAGGCACACATCCTACAGCACCACTCCTGCTCTACTTTATTCTTACTATAAAAACGACAGACCACATATAGAAGTCCCATTAATATTCAGTTTACTACAGACACAAAGAGTATACAAAGTAGTAAAAGACGTTTCATTAATCTAAAAAAGTCGATAAACTTTGTTTACTACGTGCTAAAACAACAGCGACGCCCCACTGGAAAAAGTCGACCGTCTCACCTGTTGTTGTTCCTGGTGATGATGATGATGGTGGTGATGATGGTGGTTGTAGTACGGGGACTTGTAGGCTGCTGCTGCTGCTGCAGGGAGGTAGTGCGCTCCATAGCTTTGGTGGTACATCACATCCAGGCAACTCATAGCGACGCAGCAGACAGAGCCGGAGACGAGAGACACGCAGCGCACAGAGACACCGAGGCTTCACACGGTCTGTCTCCTCCGAGCCACCGTCGCCTCCATATATGCCCGGACACATACAATGGCCATTCCGTCCAGTTTGCATACGCACAATACGACTCCTGCTGCGCGCTGCGCCAGCTCCACCCGGGGCAACAATGTGGACCGAAACGCTACCAGAAACACACGCTGGATCCGAAAAGGACAAACCCCTCTCTGTGACAAGTTTTTTAAGAACGCCCCCTCTTTTCTGTTCTGTCTTTCTGATTTGGAGGGGAGTTATATTTAGAGAGGGCTGTGGCCGTTCACGCACGCCCACCCGGGGAAGGGCCTTCTTCGCGGGGCCGCGGAGTTTATCAGAAACCAACACAACTATGCGCCAAAAGGTTCTGTTCCCACTGGCTGCAGCCATTCATGAAAAGTCCAAATGTACTCACTGGGTGCTGTAACATGTCAGACCTTTGACCTCAGGGCTGTGTCAGTCACAGGGACCGTGTGAAGGTCAGGGGCCGCAATCAGGGGCCAAAGTCAGGAGTTTGTGGGTGCAGGTTCACACAGTGATACGGAACTGATCACATGCTTGTCTTAATTGTACTTACTGTAAATATTTTAATTTATAATAGAGGTCTTCATCTCTCATCCAAAAAGTTTCTCCAGTATATTAGTCCTGGTATTTAAGAGGCTAAATACCTGAATGAATAATATTTATGAGTACAACAAAGTACTTGAAGGTTAGGTCAAGTATGTATATAATATCGTCATAATACTTTTTATGAACCATAAGTTGGCTGCCATATGTTGTACTTTGTTTTAGTACATATATATATATGTATATATATATATTATAACAAGAATATCTAATCTAAAAAAAACTATCCTGACTTCATCTTAAGACACCAGTAAATCAACCAGGTAATTTCTACCAAAGAGATCATTTAAACAGAAGAATAAATACAAATATAAAATAAAAACCACATTATATTCATGAAATCGACTATATATCCCATCAAAGTGAGGCTTTAATCAGTTGAAACCCTTTAGTTCAGCTCGATTTTACTACCAGATTTCACTGGGACTATTATGAGGTTTCCCTTTCCCCGGCGGAATAAGAGCAGTTTGCTGCCACCTGTTGGCAAAATACGTCACATTCAATTGTCTGCGTTTAACTGTTTAACAGAAATTATGACAGAGGTTTAATTGTCGAGGGAAAAAAATGTTTTCAGAAAACTGATCTCATCGATGCTCAAAAACCTATTTTATATCAAAAAAGCGATTTTAAATATAAAGTTGTTAACGTCCGGTTCCAGGGAAACCACAGTTAAGTTGTACGAATAAGCGATAGTTTCAAATGTTTATATATTTATTATTTCTAAATTAATCTTGGTTATTGGAAATAGATTGTGGTTATTAAAAATTAAACATATTTTTGGGGGGAATCCAGCTCATTGTGTTTCACGCAGATCTCCAGCTCCAGGTTTCAGGCTTTAGCCTATCACGTGCACGCCTTTCCAGGTAGTTACACACCTGCAACCAATCACTAATCAGACACAGGCAGAGAAACAGAGTTTGATGCTGCGGTCGTTTTAAAGAACTTCAGGAACCCGTCACTGGAAAACGAGTAGGTGATGAATTAATAACTTTAGTTATTTATTTGTTAATAGATGTTGCCCACTGCAGTACCGAAAAGGCCCACATGTCGCGCAGTTTTGGAGATTGTCTCACCCCAGGCTGACTTGTTTTCCTGTTTCCTGTCTGAAAATAATTGGTGTTAAAACGCTGAAACACGTAATAACAGGTTTCCTGATTAAATATTTAAAGATTTTACAGTTTGAACTCAGTTGTGAACCTTCTAGGAAGGGAAATAATAATTATAATTGTAATAGAAAACACGTCAAATGAACAAGTTGGATAATATTTTTTTTATTTGTTTACATTATTAAAAGTAATATTGTTTATCAGAGGTTTCTCACCATTACAGTACTTGCAGGTATAAGTATTCATTTTTATCTGATGTGATATCATTTCTAGTAACAAAATAATACATAAATACATTTTATGTTTCTTTTATATTAATTCTATTATACTATTATACTAATAAATGGGATGAAATGTTTTAAAAATAGTAAAATAGTGTCATATCATCATTAAAATATTAATTTTATATATGAAGCTCAGTCAATAACAAAGTAGGATGAACATAAAACCTAAATTGGAAATTCAACATTTTCAACATCTTCATATTCTCAGGCAAAAAAAAAAGAAAGACAAATAATCAGAGTTATTAACCATCAATCAAAGCGCTTGAAAACACGTCTCTGTAACAACGGTGTGTACTCCCATCAGACTTCATCCATGTCTCCATCTAGTGTTCTCAGGGAGGAAATCACATCCTTCACCGTCAGTGCCGGCTCCAGAAATGGGGCAGTGGAACACTGGCAGGGAAAGCCCCCACAGGGGGCAGGAGTTAACACAAACACACACACACACACACATTCCTGAACTGTTGTTTCCTCACACACTCTCGCCTGAGCTCAGACATGATACCCGGCATTTCGTCACACAGATACACACAGGTTCTGTGACACCGACCTGAGGGGTTTTCCAGCAGACATCTGGAGCAGCCTGTGCCTCCACTGCTCCGATCCTTAATGAGCCACAGAGCAGATTATTATTAGGTGTTTTAGAGGGGGGGGGGGGGGGGGGGGGGGGGGGGGAGGGGGAGGACAGGGACCGGAATAAAAGAGAAGTTTGTTTTTTCCCTGCTGTGCACAATCAGGGGCCACCCACAGTGTTGGAGATGGAGAGAAGTATTTTGTGGTTAATAAATTTCGATCTCCAGAGATTACCATAACTCTTCTCTGGGAGAGATGATGTTGTAAGGAAACATCCCAGGAAACTAAAAAAAAAAAAAAAAGCAGTAGGTCACAATACTTGTGTCCTAGTTCTCAGAGTCTCAGAGGAAAAAAAAGAAGAAGAAAAATATCCAAAAATCTAAAAAAGACTTAGACAATTAACACTAGTGGTTAACTGTTGTTAATGTAGTATTTTTTTATTTTTTTTACTTGACAACAGATGTGTAACGTTCGACCTTGTGCCTCGCTGCAGGTGTGGGATAACGCTGAGTGCTGTGGGTGATGAGCACTCACATTAAGCAGAGTGCAGCATCATGGATTCTGTGGAGCAGTTGCTATCACTCCACTGCCTCAGGAGATGTCAGGGAAGACACACCTGCCAGGCCCGGTCTCTGAGCGACGACGTCAGGATGATGATGATGATGATGATGGTGATGATGATGATGATGATGATGATGGTGATCATGGCGGCGGTGAGTGTGAAACTAAGGCACTAGCATGGTGGCGGTGAGTGTGAAACTAAGGCACTAGACCTCTGCCAGTCCCCATAGCTGTGTAAATGGTCCTTCTGAAGTTGTCCATCATTTGCCGATGTGTCCTTGGGTATTTGTCGGGTTGACAGAAAAAATATTTGATGAAATAAATTAGGTTATACATTTAACACACTGTAATTCCACCACCTTTTACTAATTGTCCCTGGAATACGTACGGTGTATATATACATACATATTTTTTTATATATGTATATATGTATATATACAGTATATATATACCTTATTTTGTATATGTATATAGATATGTGTGTATATGTATACTGTATATATATATTTATGTATATTTACAGCTTATAACCTGTATGTTTACATATATTTAAACACATATACACACACATATATATAGAGGGCGAGAGATAAATTAAAATCTAATTAAATGATCATTAGTCATTAGTAAGTGTTACAATATGAATGTGTGTTTGTTATGCACCTAAAAAGTGTTCTCTATATAAATATGTCATTGTGCTTAGAGCAGTTGTTGCTGTTGAGTCGTAACTGGAACACGAGGTCTGGGCAACATTCACATCATTCATTTAAAGCTCATGTTTGGGATCAGCTCCTCTGTGGCACTGATCTAATGAGCAAAAGAAAAGAGAGAGTCATTTGGGAGGAAATGGAAATTGAGTTTCAATGTGAAGCTAAAAGTGGTTGTTTTTAAAGTGATGAGACACTTCTGCCCTTTCATTATCTTTGTGACGCCACATTCTCCGTTTAATTGGTGGAGCCATTATTGCTCATTCTACGAACAGAAATGATACGTTTAATTGCAAACGCTGCTCAAAAGAAAAGTACACACTGTGGAGAGCCTGGACTCAAACTCTTTGTCTGACCAGTGGAGTCTCAATTTCCTGAGGTTCCACGCTGACCTTGTCTTAAAAAGGCAGATAATTGCTTTGTCCATCCTCCTGGTTTTAAGTCAAATCCTGCAAGTGCAAAGATAATGGCTGCCCGCCACAAGTTAATGAGACGATGGCGACTCAAAAGACGGAGGTCATGTTTATGCATACGACAGATGTGGCCTCATTTGAACCTCCCCCTCTGCTTCACATGACCAATCTGAGTGGATTTGTCCTTAAAAAGAAAAGCCCGACATGGATTTAAATTTTTCAAACCTGAAAAAAAAAGACAATTTACTCCAGGGTTATGTGTGAAATTAGTCAGACCGGATGTTTTCTGTTATTTGTTCTGGTGAAAACGTCCAGTGGAAATAATTTTTAAATACAGTCTGCGACCACACCAGCAGCACAGTTTTATATGAAATCCCCTGAAAACAGGACGTTTCTGGTGAGAATTCTTTGGTTCATCTGTTCATCTATCACTCAAGAATCACATATCGTTCAGAATCGTTACAGGAGGCGACTACAGGACTGATGTAGTAGAATTCGGTCTACTTTCTCCGTTGTCTCCTTACACAACTTCCCAAACCTCCTTTGCACAAGGACTCGTCCTCCGTTGCCCTTCCAGTAGTAATGACTCTAATTCCCTCGTGCTAATGGTGTGTCTGAGCCTCGGACCCTGCTGGGACCACCAGCCTACTTCTTGTGGTCCGGCCCCAGGGCTAGGAGGACCACGGACCACGGAGACAGAAGCGATAGGGCGAGCGATAGGGCGAGCGCCGGCTGTGGTTGGCTGGTGGTAGGATCTACCCTCAGACAGATGAGCCTCCTCAGGCTAAAGGGACCTGTGGATAAAAGAGGGTGTCATTGATCCATGTACGTGTGTGTGTGTGTGTGACATCCAAAATTGGCGCCAGCAGCAGATTTAAGCAATAACACATCGCCGTTTGACCTTAACTCACAAAACCAACAGCGTGTCTGAGACACGGGTGTCTTTGTGGTTGCACATAGAAATGCATTACTCCCACACACACATTCACACACACACACACACTGGCATCTTGATGCAAAATCTGCATCCCATCTCGTGAGACGTTTAGGGGGAGGTTAGTGGGGAGCAGTGATGAGCAACACTACGGGGGAGATAAGCTCTCATTACCCCGCAGCTCCCTGATGCTGCAGCGCGTCGGCGACGGCGACTAGATTTGTCCCATAGGCAGAAACGAGTGGAGTCACTCACTCGATTTATTAGAGCATCAAACCCCCCCCCTGCTGCTACCACCCTGTCTCCCTGCCTCCTCACATCCCCGTGTCTTCTCACACTTTCAGACACCTGCTGTCCTTCCATATGTCCTACATCCCCTCCACTACTTTTACTACTATTGCTACATTACCATGTGCACATGTAAGAGAAGCCAGACTTCATCTGTTGGTGACAGTTTGAAGAGATGGTTCTAACAAAGGAAAATAAGGTGAAGAACTGAACTGAAGTTTCTGTTAAGTTCATTTTTTGCCAGTGTGAAAATGATTGATGATGACTATGGACTATTTCCAGGTCAAATCAATTATTTATCTGTAGTTTAACTAGGCTACCTGTGTAGGCTATGCCAACACTTTTGAAAAAAATGTTTGTAATTTAGGGGCTAATGTTTTAGCTCATTTTTATTTTAGCCTAAGAATTTAGGGTCAAGAAAGGGATTTGTTGCAAAAATGTTATGCTCTATAGTCTAACCTTTCGAAATTTACATTAACTTTTGAATATTTTTGTGTCCCTTTATTTTAGTTTGTGCATTAGCTTGTATTTAAACTGATATTTCTGGGGGAATTATTGCTGTATTTTGATTAGCATTAGCTTTTTGTGGGAAACTCCTCTAACAGAAACATAGCTTACTGTTGACCAACTAAAAAACATTCAGTTAAACATAAACATTTAATGAACATTGTAAATATGCAGACATGTAAATTCCAAACTGTACTGTAATTACATGCTTGAGGATTGTTTTCCTCACGTCGACAGAGATAAAGAGTCAACGTGGAGGTTTTGCCCTAAACCCATGGCAGATGACCCTGTACTTTGGTCTTTTTTTTTCTCTTTTTGAATCATTGTTTCTTGATTTTCTATTTCTCAGTCTTGGCTCCTTCCTCACCTTTATTTGTTCCTCTCAGACATCCTTCCACCCCGTCTTCTCCTCTGGCTCTCATCCCGTGGTACTTCCTGTGCTCTCATGGCCCATTTCTTTCCTCTGCACCTCTATCTGGGCAGCGGCGAGGCATCCATCTATCAGAGAACGAGAGAGCTGCTCAAATCCCACGTCTGCCATCACAGCACTCTGTCGCTCCGTGTTTGCATACAGACATATTTCAGCCTACTGGTATGTCAGCGGCTCGGGGGGAGAAGGCGTCATAAAGTCGTAGATTATATCACATTGTGATTCAAGAATCGTTCTTAATAAATGTGGGAATAAAATCCACACCCAAAAGAATCCAAAGAAAGGTTTATTGAAGTCCTAACGCCAATGGAAGACACACGGTGTGATTTGTTTACGGTGAGGGGAATATTGGCCCCATGAATACTGTAAAAACCCAGGCTCCATTAAGTCAGAGTTGTCCGTCTTTGTTACGAGGAAAATAAAGTTGTTGATTTTCCTACGACGTGAGCTGCCATTTTTCACGGCTGCTTCAGAGTAGAAGTTCTTTGGAAATGTGTCAAGCGAGCGACGTCACATGTCAAAGTTACTAGCTGTATTGAGTGTCTCGGTAATAAATCATGGAAGAAAGTACGGAAATGTTGCAACTTTTGAGCTTTATGTAGAGAAATACATTTTTAAAAATGATGGCCTTGACTGAAGACAACACTGTGCAACAACAAAGAAAGGAAACACACAGGAACGTTGGCAGACGACAGGATTTGTGCGATTCCTCTGATGATGATACCTCAAAGCTGAAACGCTGGCTGTGCTTTATGGCTGCGACTCCCACTGATTGTACACAGATCTCATTTCACACTTGAACGTCCCTCTGTCTCCCTCCTGTGTAAATGTGTGTATCCATACACTCTGTAGTTAGTGCCCTGACATTATACGTCTGCTGGGCCCCGGGGCTACGTCACAGATGAAAGAGAGAGAAAAGATGGAAGAAATAGTTGTAGGAAGTGAAGAAATAAAAAAAAGAAAAGTCTGTCAGTTCTATCAACAGAGACAAGATAAATTAAACCAAGCAATACAGGATAAATAGTGTGTGATTTACATGTAGCCTCTGCTTCAATTCAACCATAAGATAATGTAAAAGTCTTTGTTTTTTTTATACCATTTAAAAGCAATATTTTCCTGTTAATTTTTTTTGCATTTTATCCAAAAGAACAGACATAATATATAATATATCAAAGTAAATGGAAACAAAGTCTGTTTGTTATTGAAATCCTTATCGGTTCCAGCTGGATACTGTCCTTTTGACTGATCCAACTCCACAGTCGCTGTTATATGTTGAAGATGTCTATATCCTTTATGGCTGATTTGCATGCCGTTATGATGTAGTTTGATAAAACAGAGGAGATAACATGCTTTCTACCTGCAGGCCCTCTGGATGCTTGGGGCGAGATTTATCACCAGTGGGCACACCCCNCCCTGTAGTCCTCCACTGATTAGTGCCAGACATCTTCCCTAATAACCTTAACAAGAACAACGCCTCAGGACGTCATGCCGATGCATATGGGTATGTGTCCACGCTCTCACCACCGCACACACACACACACACTCCTTAAGGTATCTTAAAGATAAAAAAAAAGTGCTAAAGGCTACTCATCCTCCTCCTCTTCTCCTCAAAGTCACCCCTCTCTCCTCTATCTCATCCATAACTTGTAATATCCCACTCTTTCTCCACTACAACCCCCAGAACACACATATGAAGAAAATTGAGTTGGTTATGGTTCAAGAGTCCTGGCGCCCCACATGGAAACTGGCTCAGTGCCGGGTAATAAAAAAACAATAGAAATACAAGAAAACACACTGATGCATCTGCAAGTCCTCACCCACGAGGACGGCTGACAAAATAAGAGATTGACAACATGAGGGTGTTTGGACAAATTATAATGACATAGCTTGATCTTGATAAAGAATGATTGCTTGACTTCACCATCAAGCAAAAACATAATTAAATTTAGTTTGTCAACTATCAGCTTGGAGTGTTTATAGGAATTGGATTTTTACAGCTTTTTGTGAATTTCTGGTTATTGTTTTTTCATCATTAAATATACAATATTACCGTCAGATTTAATAATGAAAAAACCTGGATGTCACATTTGTGCAAATGGGATTATTAGGAAATATTCAATAACGCCTATTACCCTTATTTTTTTTAAGTTGGCTCCACCCATTTCTTAGATACTATCTTTGACAACTGTTTGTGCTAATGGTGGTCCAACATGGTGGCACCTGCAGAGAAGCCGCCTTCAAAAAGACTAACTTTTAGGTGAGCGAAAACTCAAATATGCAACAACAAAACAACTTAAATTCAAATAACAAGAAACATACTTTGGATTAGAGACTAAGTATTTCCAACTAGATACAAAATTGTATCAAATTTTCAAAAAATCGCCTCAAATGACCCGCGTTGTTTAAAAAAAATCTAATTGCTAATCGATTCAATTTTTTTAAAATCCTTTTAACGATTCTATGATTAAATTATTTTTTTATAAGTAATTACCGGAAACAATTTAAAAATCAATAGCGTCTGTGTATTGAACGTCGCCTTCAATGAGTGTTTGAAATTTGAGGGTGGAAGCTTGAATTTGAAAATTGAATTTTTCCTGTGTAATTTTTAAAATCGTAAATATAATCTTTGTACTTACAATAATCCTTTAGTGTTGAATGAAATACATGTTTGATCATTCCTTAAACTTTATACATTTATAAACATTTATATATTTTCCACTTATCGCTCTTTTTAGGTTTTAACGTCAACCTACATAAGACGGCGTTGTCCGAGTTTATTGGCTATATTCCGTGGTACACGTGAAGGCAACATAGGAGTTCCGCCGTGACGTGATGGAATCAGTCAGCTGAGGAGGAGGAACTGAGAACAGAGAAAAGTGAACCAGGAAACAGGCGCTGCTTAACTGACCTACGGTCCTGCTCTGACTGCCAAACAGTGTTAGCGACCAGGGAAAAACACATAAAACAAGAACACTGGTTGTTTTTTAATTTAGCTCATTATAAAGCGGCACCATGGCTTCCCTTTTCAAGAAGAAGACAGTGGATGGTGAGTTGACGCTATATAAAAAAGCTAGCTGAGTTGTTTTTAGCCCGGCTCTGTTGTTCCATTTTAAAATTCACATTCCATTTTTTAACTTGTTCGACCTGTTCTGGCCCTGACTCACTAGTTCCAATGACGACAGCAGTTTTGTAGCAGACTAGATGAACCCCGGTTTACCGAAAACATGAATAAAATAAGAGTTATATACAATATGTATGTGGTATAGGTCGGTGGCCGTTAGCGGGTTGTTTACGTTAAGAATGTAAAAAACATGGAGTTATTTTAAAATAAGGGTAATGTTAAATACGTGTGTTTTAGTGTGTAGAGTTTAAACTAAACATGAGCCAAAAAAAATAGAGGTCCTTTTTTTTAAACTTCAAATTGAATAAATTACGTCGATTTTGTTGTCCAATAATGCCTATTCCGGAGTTTGATTAGTTAATTCTATTTTATTCAAAAATTATTGTGTAAAGTTAGCTTGAAATACATGATAAAATATCTAGTGAAAAATAAATTCTCTATTTTCGCACTTTTAATTTGCTCAAAAATTAAACAAATTACCATAATTGTGTGGTCCAACAATATCTATTCCTGAGTTTGTCTGAAATGAATTTGACTCGACTACACGAGTAATTTATATGTAGAGTAAAAAAGGTAAAATACATGATCTCTGAGGGCTTTATTACTTACAAAAATATTTGACTTGTGATTCAGCCATGTCTACTCCTGGGTTTGATTACTTAAACTACATTACTACATTATATGAGCCAAATATATGGTAAAATGTACAGTTGTGCATGTGCAGTGTCTCATGAGCCAAAAATATGATAATGTACAGTTGTGCATGTGCAGTGTCTAGTGGAAAACATAAAATAAAAAAAGACCCCAGGTTTTGATCTAACATTGCTTATTTCTGAGTTTGATTACTTAAACTACACCACAATCCATTTGTGTTGAAACTCTAATGTAATGCTATGATTTTGCATTTGTGTAATGTTATACAAAGTATGTCATACAACCATAATTAAGTAGGGAGGTCAATGTGTTAATCTGTGTAGCCAGGATAATGTGCATGTGTCAAAATTTTTAAAAAGCCATTTTAATGTTGGGGGAAAAAAAATCAGATTTGTTTCTCCAGGCTATGTAATCAGGCGCACAAGGTCAAAATGGAAACACCCCGACCTGTCCTTTATCAAATTTAATTTAATCAATTATTCTTTTATAAATAATTATGACAGTCAGTGCACAGGGCTTTTTTGCTAATTGAAGCGGGGGGAAAAATCAAGCATGTTGAAACTTGATTTTTGGAATCTGCAAATTCAATAGTCTCAGTCTCAGTTTAAAAATGTTATCTTTTTAGATAATTAGTCGTAGGAACTACTGCCTCAGTCAATCGTTGTCTTAGAGCCTGCTCTCAACACCCCTCCCATCATTGTCCTACCAGTTTCACTCATACCGATCATTTCCATACTGTACTCACTGTGTTTCTTCTCCTCGATGATCCGCTGCCAAGTTTCTCATCCATGACATGTCACTTTTTCAATCCACCTTCGCTCTGGTTTTTTTCTTTTTAACGTCTGTTCTATCTTCGTCTTTAGAAAAAAAAATTGGTCAAGTGCGGTGGTCGAAGTGGTTTCTTGTAATTTGGCAAATAGAGTGGGGGGGTTGAGATGATACTTATTTGTAGGGCGACATCCCTCCCACTTCGAGACGTTGGCGATAACGTCATCTCATACGTGTTACGTTTCATACGTGTGGTGGTCAATCGCTCTGAGCTGTTTGGACTGTTGAAAAAATATTTTTTAAGTGGTCAATCGCTCTGAGGTGTTTGGACTGTTGAAAAAATATTTTTTATAAACTTTCTTTTTTTCCCAAATGGGGTCTTTTCTATCAAAAACTTAAATTTGATACCTAATTATGTTATATTTATTTTATTTTTATTTTTGCCAACATACTTTAGTTTAGATAAACAAATAAGATGCACATTATCACACATTTTACCACATATTATACCTGTCTTACCATCAAATTTTGTAGATACCTTCTCAGTCTGATAGTGTATTTTTAACCCCAAGATCTGTCAACAAAGTCAATGATTTTTCATTCAAATTCAACATTTTATTTCTATTTTTCTTTTTAGTATAATTTAAAGACTTGAATTCTTGTTTGCCGTGAACAAGTGGTAGAAATATAGTCCTTCCCAAAAAAACACCCATTATTGACAAATTCTACTATTTTCTTCATTTTTCGTGCCATGGTCAAATAAATTAATTTGTTGAATCTTTTCTGATGCAACTCTTCCCGTTAGAATTGAAGAGTGGTTAGATTCTAACCTGGGAGTTTCTGCACTACATGAAAGAATTCTATCACTGCCCCACAATAGCCTTGGGTCAAAAGAATTTTCTCAATATGAAGTCTCAATATTTTTGTATTTTAAACCACTTTGAAATGTAAAGTTTTTGATGCTTTTTGGTAAACAGTGTAACAAGGTAAAAGGACTTCATCTCTCACCCCATGCATGAGATCAGCGTCATGATTTCTATCACATGATGGCTCTTATGTTGGAGTGAGCAGTTCCGTGACCGTTGACTCAGTGTTGCACAGTTGGCGGTGCTGCTTTGTGGTTACATGGTGCTGCTGCTGGTCACCATGTGGTGTTTTTTTGTAGTGCATGTGGGCACACGGTCAAACTGAAGACATTGCAAAAAGAACAGTAATGGGGTTCCGCTCACTGAACACATTGCAAAAAGAACAGTAATGGGGTTTAAAGCTAATGGTTGGTCATCTGCATATGTCCACCCTTAAGTTCTACGGTCTGTTTGTAATTATTATAACTACATTTTGTAAAAGTCCCCATCAGGCTGCACAGTGATACGGATTGTGTTTTTCACCACATACAAATAGAAGATAATGTGGACAATGTTTAAGCTTGAATTAGTAGTTGAAATGCACAAGATGTGACATTGAGAGGATTGAAAATAACAGAAAACAGAATGTGAAAGTATAATTGACGTGTTCCAAATCATTGTCTCTCTCTTTCTTTCTCCAAAGACATAATCAAGGACCAGACCAGGGAGCTGCGTGGGACTCAGAGACAGATCACAAGGGACAGAACAGCACTGGAGAGACAAGAGAAACAAATGGTGGGAACAAACACACACATCCACGCATCACTTTCATATTAATTTTTTTTAATGACTTACCAGCCGACTTCTTGCTTCACCCACTTGGGATCAATGCTTTCCTTTGTCTGCTAGCCATTTACAGGTCTTTAGAATAAAATGTGTCCCTAGTGGTAGCTTCTGACACGCACACAAACACATCATAAAATTTCTACATATTGCATCAATTCTCTCCGATACCCCCACCCCCCCCACCCCTCCATTACAACGCAAGTGGCCCCCTGTCCATATCTGACAATTTGCAGTTGAGCCCCATTGGCTAATGGGACTGAAATGAATAGACAGTTCACATCTACATTGGTGAATTTGCTTCAGGCAAATCAGTTCTTTTCTCTCTCTCTCTCTCTTTCCGTCTCTCTCTCTTTCCTTCCCACGTGCATAATATAAACATTACATGATAGAGAATTCTTTGCCGACGCGCGCAGCATTTCCACTCTGTGTCAAGATGAAAGAAAGCAGCTGTATCCTCTGCCCACTGCTGTATTAAAGGATGTAATTACCCCCCTGGAGAACCACGACTTGTTCCTCCTTTTTGCTAATTAGAGAAGTCTTTTGTTGATGTTTTTTTTTTTTTTTTTTACATTTTGAATCCAACTTTTTAGCTACAAATAATGTAACTATTATAAACTGTTTATGTATACATACAATACACGGATCAGTCATTATCTCCCACATTAATTTAAGGTCCAAATATGTGAAACTAGCACTCGTACGTACAAAATGAATTTGCTGTTTTTTCCACATTTTTGGTTTGGTCAGTGAATTCTTAACTCTGAGACACCTTATTGAGGCAGACTCATTCCTGCAGAGTACTCCCCCAGTTCATCACCCTCCTCCTCCTCCTCCTCCTCCTCCCCTTCCTACACACTCTGCCCCTCTTTCTGTCTGACCGGGGAGTAAATACGTCTCCATAAGCTCCAAATCAGCCCCAGTCCCACTGCTGTCATCCCCGTTAATGCATCCATAATGTATCTTTTTATTTTCAGATGACTGTGCAGTTAACAGTGATATTGTCAGTGTGTAATTTTTAACCCCTCCCCCTCTCCAGCATGGTCCCGTCGCTCTAATTTTCTCTCATTTTGCCATTAATTAAAATTTCAGAGCTGAATGCAGACTGAGACTAATGCACCTGTTCTTTGTGTGTCTGTGCCCCCCCCCCCCACACACACACACAGGGCACCTGAGTCAAAACATCTTTTGCATTTGCACTGATACATATAAATAATTAAGTATTGTTTCCTGCAGAGGATGCTCTCAGTGCTTACAAAGGAAAACAAAAACAAAAAAAAAAAGAGAAGCAGCAGTGATGAAAGGTTTGTCCATCTGACTGGAGCCTGGAGCTGCTCTCTCTTCTCTGGGGAGGCTCACACACTGCATACTTGTGGGCATCAGTGGATTCTTTTACTTTTTTTTTATTTTTTTATAACTGAACAAAAAAAACCCACTTGCTTGCTCAAGAAAAGCATTTGATCTGGACAACTGTTCTTAGCATGTCTATATTTGCAAACACAGTGCCCTCCTGAGGGCTTTGTGGGCGAGTTAAGAGCACACACACACACACACACACATACACATACATACATATTGATACCATATTTTTTTTATTGCCAGTGCTAGATGTACAACAGGGAGGCGTTGTGATTCTTGTTTTGTGGATGAGAGAAACATTTGAAGCTATACTCTATGTATAGCATGGACGCAGTAACCTGATTTAATTAACCGTGTAAATTACAATTACTTTTTACTTAGGATTTCATTCTGGGAAATCAGCGATCTAAATGTTTGGTTAGATTAAGATAAGCAGAAAGGTTTTTTTTGTTTGTTTGTTTGTTTGTTTGTTTTTTAACACACAATATAGCACCCACTCCCCTGCAGGGGGCACTATGAAAAGCTTGCTGTTTGTTTGTTTTTTTGTTGACCATAAAAAATATTGATGTTTTTTTTTTTGTTGACCATAAAAAATATTGAGAACATATGTCTTTGTTATTCTCTCCTTTCCTTTAGAGTCAACCTAACATACATGCTACTGTACTATTACAAAAGGAATAATTCAGATTTCTGACACTTCAACATTTCCCCGCTGCAGGAGGCCGAGATCAAGAAAATGGCAAAGAGCGGTAACAAGGAGGCGTGTAAAATCCTGGCCAAGCAGCTGGTGCAGCTCAGGAAGCAGAAAAACCGAACGTACGCCGTCAGCTCCAAGGTCACCTCCATGTCCACGCAGACCAAGGTCATGAACTCCCAGATGAAAATGGCAGGTGCCATGTCCACCACGGCCAAGGTACAACTCTTCCTGTTTTCAATGCACCTGTTCATGTTGTTTTTTTATTTTATTTTAATGGCAGAAATTTTTAATTTTTCTATCTTTAAATGTAAATTATTGTTGAATATTTGTTATAAGCTGCAGTTTTAGGTCCATTTGGATACATTATAACATGGCATTCTCATACGCCTGAGCATTTACTGTTGCAATGTTTATTCATGTAATTATTTTAATGTTGTAATTAAGGTTTGAAGATGTAATCTGAGTATTTTTAATCCCAAATTCAGTAACATGTTTTTTAATGAAGTGTGAACAGCAGTAATTGACTGGAAGCCAGAGACACGACAAACACACAGAAGTCAAACATAATTAGGCTCCACTTTAATGGCGTGTGACGGGGGAGTAAATGTGAGCTAAATAAGTTTCGGCTTCCATTCAGATTTTTTTAAATTTTTTTTTAATTTAAGCAGTGAATAGTTTTTCTGGTGTTGTGGTGATCTGGAGCTATTTTTTCTGGTGTTGTGGTGATCTGGAGCAGTTGCTGTCGGCTGTGGTAAACCGGTGGCTGGTGAGGATGAGCCCTGTTCATTGTGTCTGGCTCAGCAGTGAAAAGTAGGACACGTTTGTGCTGATCTTTCACAGGAAGGAAGAAGACGCATAATTTGTAGGCTGCGTGCTGCTGCACTGGATTTGCCACCAGAAAAAGCCAAATACTCATAATAATCATCTTCTAACATGTAATATCGACCGTCTGCCAATAATGTCTGTCAGGAATTATTTGATTTAATCGTGAATTTAATTCAGTCGTTTCATATTTTGGAGGAAGGACAACTGTAGGACCTCACTTCTCCAGAAGTAACAAATGCTTATTGATGCTTATTTGAACAAACTGAAACCGTGTGTTTAAATGAAGGTGATTCCGATTCTTATCAGTTTATATCAGACACAGGCAAAGTGCAGTGCAAGTCCGTTTTTTTATTGGGTGTCTGCACTGACCTGGTTTATGGTTTTAGAGCCACCGGACTTGATGCAGATCTCATGTTACAGTAAATATGTTTTTGTGGAGAAGCGACAGCTGAAAATAAACAGATGAATTTGATCTGTCATAAGCCAAAAGAATGGAAACAGCTGTGAGACCGGCAGAAATCTTAACGTGTTTAATCACATGTTCTGTAACACAACTGTTAGCACCCACTAACTCTACTCTGTGTTCGACCTCATTAACAGACGATGCAGGCCGTGAACAAAAAGATGGATCCACAGAAGACGCTGAAGACCATGCAGGACTTCCAGAAGGAGAACATGAAAATGGGAATGACTGAAGACATGAGTAAGCATTCGTGACACGTTACAGGTCTTTTATAGCCACGTGTGTCATTCGTCTTTATGGAAGAAAAATTATACTTGAAAGAGAGTTCTTTTACCCCCTCCTGTCAGAGGAGGGGGTAAAAGAACTCTTTGAGAAATGTCTTTGTAAAAATGTTTAAGATTTAAGACACATTTGAACTCCACTCATCAAATTGTATGTTCCTTCCTCTCTAAACCTTCCAGTCAACGACACATTAGACGAGATCTTTGATGAATCTGAGGACGAGGAAGAATCCCAGAGCATCGTCAACCAGGTGCTGGACGAGATCGGCATCGAGATCACAGGAAAGGTAAGAAGCAGACCATGTCCTAACACACACACCCAAAAACACTGCTTTTATTTGAGTGAAATAACAGTTCAGAAAGCCCTGCGGTGGAGCCGGTGTCACAGCACACAGTAATCCGTGTTTTTATCGCACATTATACACATGAAGCCACATGTCATTTTAACGTTCTCCAGCTGCCACACGGTGGGGCTAGCCCCTCAGCTCTTCTGCCTCTGAACACTCTGGTCTGTTTATGTTCCAGCTCCACCATCTGCACGTGTGTGGCTCCCCCTGGGGGGCTACATGAGTTATTACCTCCCAATACATATCCAGTCACAAAGTGTTTTTTTTTTTTCTGAAGTTGAACTAAAGAGTTAGACAAAGGGAATAAAACTGAATTTTCAATTTTATTTTTATTTATTTTTTTTATTTTACTATTTTATTTTCAATCATAGAAATTAATTAATGTCTGAACCAAAACTGAGTTAAATGTATCTGCTAAAAACGTTCTTTTTTTCTTTTCTGAATGTTTTTCATCTGTGTTTTCTCCAGATGGGGAGGGCTCCAGCTGCTGGGAAGAGTCTCCCCGGCGCCACAGCGGCCAAGAGTTCCACCATCTCTGACGACGAGATTGAGAGACAGCTCCGAGCTCTGGGAGTAGACTAATTATCCACCATTGTGTCGGCGCTCACTCTCTGACCCAGTGCAACAGTAGTACTGATTGATGTAGACTGTCAAGACATGTTGATTTTTGTCATGGGTTTGAATGCTACAGGTGTAAGAAAGGTACACACACACACACACACATGCATACACAAACATGGATTTTTCACATTCTTCAGCCGGTTGCTTTCAAGACAGTGGAGACGAAACATCAAATTTATTTATGCAAAAAAAAAAATCATATTTATTCTGAAATCAAATTTGATTTCAGTTTGGTGGAAAATCAACAATAAATGCTTGAAGAACCAGAACAGCACACACTTCTGTTGGCCAATCGTCCCCACATACAAGGGCTACGCTGTTTGGTGTTTTCACTTTAAATTTTTAAACTGCTATCTTTGTTAGCATCACTTAATTAACACTCAGAGTCTCTCTTTCTCTCTCTCTCTCTCTTTCTTGCAAATTGTCAGGATTTTTTTTCTATCCTCTAACGTGTAAGAGAATAGAAAAAAACCCCAGCTGTGCTGCTGTATCGGATTTGACACAAACACACACACATACACACACACACACATTTTATCCTTTCTAGTAAAAGGTGTAATAACACGGTGGAAAACTGTCACTTTGCAAAGTAAACAAACCTGTAAATGACTTTTAATTAATGAGCTAGTTTTCAGTTGCACTGCGACACACAGTAATGACATACATATGCATGGAAAATGTGTTACTGAGAACTAATCAGGCCCTGGGATCGCAGCCCGACCTTCACTGGCATGAGCCGGTGAACGCGGCTGATCCGAGGGTGAAGTGACGAGCATCAAATTAGCACCGCCGCTAAAGTTGCAATTCTGGACAGACTGTGTAGAAATGTAGGTTTATATATGTATAAACTCTCGATATAAGACCTGAATATTGACGAGATAGGCGTAGAAGGTTTATATATGTATAAACTCTCAATATAAGACCTGAATATTGACGAGATAGGAATCGAACGTCTGACCTTTTTACTACTGACTTTTCTGTGTTTGTGTCCTTGTCCTGATGCCTGCTGTTTGACTCTTGAGTTCTGCGTTGGATTTGGGATTTTAATCTGCGATTGCATGGATGGATGGATGGATGGATGGTTGGCACTGGTCCTGCAGTCGCTTCTGTCTTTCAGCTGCTGTGCAGTTACTTTCAATTGTTATGTTTTGAGCTGCCTCGTGAACACACACACACACGTACACGTGCACCCAGACACACTACAGCGACGAAATAGGAAACGTGTTTACTAAAGTCTCACTGTGATCCTGGAGATCTTCTCTCAGAGATTTGTTATCGTCGGCTCCATTAACAGACGCCTCTTCCTTCAGCTCATTGCCAAAATATAAACAATAAAAAGGTTTTCAACCCTGTATACAGTACGTTCTCAGCCTTTCCCAAGTTTATGAAATGGGCAGAAGTATGTTTTTTTTTTTTTTTTGTTGGTGCAATTTCATAAAAAAACAAATCGGTTTTCAAAACTGAAAAAATGACATGAATACTCTTTCTTTTCTTTCCTTCTTTGTCATTGTTTAATGACTCTGTAAAGGGTTTATGGCTTTTATAAGGAATAAAGTTTCTTCAGGTATTATTGTGGGTGCACTACTTCTCCAGCTTATTTTATTTCATTTACATTCAAGGTTTTATTTGTCTCATTCAGGGTGTACACACAGAGTTTTACATTTATGACCATGTAAAACCATAATTTGAACAGTTTGGGAGAGTTGTGGTTGTTGTTGGAGTGGGTTCATGTTCATCCGACTGGGTTCATGTGGTCGCAGTACAAGTAGCAAGTTCATCCGACTGGGTTCATGTGGTCGCAGTACAAGTAGTTTATACTTCAAATTCCTCATAATCAGACAATCCAGGTGGTTTTACCTCAACATGTCTTCAAATGTCATTCTTGCATTTTTTTTCTTCTTCTTGATTTTTTTCAACTAGCAAACCAATAAGAAGAATATTAAAAATAAAAATACTAGGCAACAAGATATATACATTAATAATTCACTCTTATTGGCCATAGGTATGAATGTGAGTGTGAATGTTTTTTTTATGTTCTCTACCTACAGTATGTGTGATGGACTAATGTGATCCTGTTGTCTCTGAACCATTGTTCTGAGAATTACAACAATATTGTTCGGACAATAATTTGAAGATGTTTACTTTTGCTGGCCAAAAAAAAACAAACACTTTCCGCTGCCGCTAGGGGGTGCTATGACAGCGAGTAAGAAGAATACAGTCTTGTTTGTGCTGAAACAATAATTAGAATCAAAACCTGTACAATGGCAGTGATTATTGTCCGATTATTGTTGTTGATCTCAGAGCTTCTCCATCCTCATCGTCTTACACTGAACTGCAACTTTCCTGTGTGCAGCCTCAGAGATGAGACATTCATCTCCTCTGACAGCACTGCTGTGAGACAGCTCTGCATGAATCACAGCGTGAGCGGCTTGTTTATGAATAAAGGTGTCTCCTCCTCCTCCTCCTCCTCCTCCTCCTCCTTCTTCTTCTTCTTCTTTTGCGACAAACATGAATTGTCTGCTGTATTTGTATTTGCGTTTGTATTTACGGTGTAGCACAAAGGCATCATTACAAATGAATGATGACACACGAAGTCCCTCACAGAGCAGTGTTTATTGTTTGGCAAATAGAAGTTGGACTGAATTGATTCCACTGACATTTTCCTATTTGAGTCGTGAATGTTTTATTTCACTGTCAGTGATTCGAAAGAGACATTTTTCTTTGTGTTTGGTGCGTTGACAGGAAGGATGATTAAAGGCACTGATGCTCATATGACGCATATCGTCAGGCCGAGGTTTGTGCAGACCAGTTAATCTAAAATGTGTGTTTGAGAAAAAAAAAAGAAGTTGGGCAGTCATAAGTAAGGGCGTAACTCTTTGTGAAATCAGTTACTTTTTCAAAGCGTTACATCCTTTTGCAGATAATTCCACCGTCCATCCACTTGCGATTGTTCTAAAACATGGTAAATATGTTATTTGCACACACTGCGGGAAGGAGTTTTCACTGAAGCACCTCAGGCTCAAAATACCACCTTAACAACCAGTGTGTGCGTTTGTCTTTAACGATGAAATGGCAAGACAATATGTTGCCATGCTGACGTATCTCGATTCATCGTGTTGAATGATTAATCATTATTTATGATTGTTAACGATCATGATTAATCGTGATGCATAATGATCACGATTAATCATGACTACACGTGATTTGTCATCCACAGCGACCACTGTGATTAAGCAGATTCATATTTTTAATTGTGTGACAGCCTTTAAAAAAAAAAAAAAGAAAGAAAAAGAAAAATCAAAGCCCAGTCTTGTTCTGAACTTATTTTCATCTTGTTTCCTCACTTCACGGTGAACTTCACATCAGTCACTCCAACCAGGTCACAGTCATTACAGGCTGACGCTCCTCTGTTCTGACACTCGTCTGACAAGGCGACAGCATCAATGGCATTAAAATGAAGTCTTTCTTACTTTGTGACAGCGGGCCGACAAAAAAATGTCACAAAGTCAAAAAGTTCTACGTCGTCTCCACATCAGAGCATAAATAATGAAGACCATAAGTCGACTGCGGTGATATATTAACTCTCAGAGAAAATAGGACAATGTGTAACTTTTATATATATTACTTTATGCTGCGGTGCGTTTGATAAAACGTCACGTGTTTATGACAGGTACAGGGACATTCACCTCTAAACACAAAAATACAAAAACAGTTCCAACAACTGTACCATGTATGGGACAAATCTCAAACACTTCATTTTTTATATATTATTTTTTCTTTTCCTAAAAACTAAAAGAACGGCCTCACTAATGTCCTTCATGAAAACACTTTAAAAAAACAATTTCAACCATTAAAATACCAAACAATAAATATACCTGTAACAGCTGTTAATAGTGTATTTGACTGGTGTATTTGTACGCACAAATTTTTAGCCTCTGTTTCGTTAATTGTCTCAGGCTCACTTTTCAATATGTTATTTAAATATTTTAGTATTTTGGATTTTTGAAAGAATAAATAATAAATAATCAGTAGAAAATGTGTTTTAAGGCGCAGGTTAGCCGCGTACCTTTACATAGAAGTATTTTCAAAATTATTTGACGCAAGAATGTAATTGTGAAGTACTCATATTTGTACTTCATTCATCCAAAATGCTGCACTTTGTTTAATCTCTTAGTTTAGATCAGTGATAAACACGATCACATTTGTAACTCAATTCACAGACTAAGGCACTCAAACTGTGTTATTGGCACCCCCTTCTGGCAGGTGTGTGTCAACATTCTTTTTTTCTATTGCTGTAATTTTCTCACTTCACATACTTCATTGTCTGCTCTAAATGCATCGTACTAGAGGTGACGAGGGGTCTTAAACTGTGCTAATAGCACCCCCGTCAGGCACTTTGAAGTAACTGCAACCTCTGTAACCAAAATTTCTGAGCACACATTTCTCTTTTGCTGTAATTTTGTGACGACACCTGTTGCATTTTCTGCTCTGAATGCATTGTTGTAGAAGTAAATACTTTGTCCGTGATGAAGGAATCGAATGTTAGCGGACACAAACATTCGTTTTCTCCCGGATCCTGAAGCTACGTCATCGGTCGTTGCACTTTACCCATCTGTGTTATGTAGTGAGGACTGATCTTGGTCAGACTGGAGCTGAGGTTCAGGCTGGTTTTAACCCGTTTCTCCCGTTGGCGTCTGTTGCAGAACCAGACTCGGACCACTTCCTTCTCCAGGTGGAGGCCTTTGGCTATCCTGGCTATTTCTTGAGATGACGGTTTACTTTTCTCCACAAAGCTGTGCTCCAGAGCCTCCTTTGCTCCCAGGCTGTAGTGTTAAACCAGAGCACACACACACACACACACATTAGTTTCTGCCTCATTACCAAACAGCACTTGTTTCACCGTGACATGGATTTGTAGCAGAGAAGGTCTTTGTGGAAGTTTGGCCCTCACCTGATGGTGGTTCTCCTTTTTCTCTTCCTCTCATTAACTCCAACTTTGTCGTTGTACAGGGCTGCAGGGGGGGGGGGGGGGGGGGGGGGGAAAGGGAGGGGAGGGAGAAATGTGTTATTTTGTTGTGTAGTAGGGACAAAAAAACAACATGGAGCGACTCACTCACTGATTTTAACAACACAACATTAACCATAATTTACCTGTAGAAACAAAGGATTTCATTTCATTTTGGTATAAAACATAATTAAGGATTATTAGTCCTTTTCATTTTGGTGTAAAACATAATTAAGGATTATTTGTCCTGGGTTTTAGTGTTTAATTGACTGACATTTAAAAAAAATCACCTAACAGCTTAGGAAGAGTTTATTATTATTTTCTTGAGGTAATAAGGCACATTTGTGACCTCTGCTATTGATAGACACACTCTTCATTTAGAAGATTCAATATCTCAGAACGCAAATTCCCAAGCGGCCAATCACAGTGGAGCAACTAATTGCATTTTGAACATGCAGACGTCACCTGCTGAAGTTTAAACTTAATTCTAGAAAAGAGAGAAAAGGCAGATTTTAAGTGATGTAAATTAACGTGTCTTTGTTTCAGTGAAGCACCTCAGGCTTCAAATACCACCTGAACAAACGGCATCATTTTTCCAGGACGTTATCGTCATAGTGTAAATGGAGTTCTTGAGGCAACTGTTTTTGATAAAGTTGGTGCTAAATGTTGCTCAAACAATGGTCCAAACCGGTGATTAAAAGAACACACCCTGCTCATTATGATAAAAGTGAAACATCTGAAGACTTTTAGAGGAGTGAAGTGAAGACACTCACCACCAGCCAGCTCCGCTTCGTTCAGCCATTTTGCCAGAATGGCCTTGAGTTTGCAGGCGTTCTTGAAGCTCAGCTGCAAATTCTCGAAGCGGCAGATGGTGGTCTGGCTGAACTCTGAGCCGTGCACGGCTGCAAGGGCCTCGCCCACGTTAGTCTGCGTGTAGCCTGCAGGTCGAAATGACAACAGAAAGGCTTGTCAATAAACCGTTGGCAGGTTGGTGCCCACGTAGTAACGGATGTATCTGTAATCTTAGGACAAGCTGTCATTTTGGTCCCTTATGATTTGAATATAATCGGTTGATAATCAATTTTATTTCTCACTATTTTAACATTCGGAGTTCCTCAAAGCTCCAATTTGGGCCCCACACTTTTTTCTAAATTTCACACCTTGCAGTTCAAAACATCTCTTGTCACTGTTTTGCAGGACATGCCTACATTCCTTGACTATTCGTGGGGCACATTACTGTTTTGCAGTTCATGACTACATTCCTTGACTATTCGTGGGGCACGATACAAACAGTAGGTAAATAAGAGGCTTTTTTGGTTACATCGCACGTTACCGTGACTAACTAGCTAAGCAAACCGTACCTAGCTTTATCCTGCGTATTTTAAAATCGTTGGCAAACATCTCCAGCTCTTGTATCTGCTGGGAATCCATGGCGGGCACGTCTTCGACGTCCCGTATGCCCTTCCTTAGGGTGTCGGTTTTCAACTCTCCAACAGAGGGCCCCCCGGGGGTGTCGTCGGTCGACAGGATCGCCGGAGGCAGTGAAGAGAATCCATGGCTTAATGCACAGGGACCGTTACTCAGACTGTGATCGGGAAACTTGTACAAGCAGGGAGTGAGGGAACCTGGAGGAGAGAAGGGGTAGAACGGAAGAAAATTAGAGGGAAATGACCCGGTCAGAGACGCAATCGAGACCCTCGGGTTGGCCACGAATTCCCTCATGTCCAGCCAGAGCCTTATTATAAGAACAAAGAAAGTTTCAACATGTAACTGTGAGATTCTCCAAACCAGAGGGAACAAAGAGTGCCTTTGTGTTTGTCTACGTCTCAGCTAGAACAGAGAGAGCGTGCCGTCTTTCATATGAGGAATTGAACCGCTTTTTAATATGAGATTTTAAGAAAAACATTTTTTTTAAACCATTCAAACAAAAGTCTGCGTCATACCCCAAAGGTTGAATATATTATTTGAATTAGTGAAAGGTCACAGGTGCAAGGATTCACGGTGCGTTCCCCGCCATGAAAAAAAAAATCTAACATTTTGCTTTGTCTGTGGGGTCACGGTATTTTGTGACACAAGAGTTGATTTGAATGGTGTAAGGAATGCTGAGATGAGACGTCGAACACAAAAATCCTTGTCCTTGTCTTCACTGTTGCTATGCAACAGGGGGTTTTGAAACTCTTTATTCAACAGAAATGCTATATTCTACCGTGCTGTGTGTATGTGATCTGGTACGTTTGTTGTATACATCAGCTGTACCTCTGTATACCCAGAGAGAGGGGGAGCTCTTGGCTGTTTCTACAGGTAGCTGCTGCTACTAAAATGCGGTGAAGTTGATGTTAATGATTATTCTGCTCATTTTGTGAGTAATGATGACTGATTAGTGCCAGAATACCAGATGGTGGGTGAGATCATTGTGATGGGGAAGACAATGGTCCCCGGTGAGTCATCACAGTACACCATCACTTCACCTAAACATCCGAATTAACCACTTCATCAAGTTCATCAACCCAGAGAGCAGAGCTGCCACTGACACCTCTGCAGCCGAGATGTCAAAATAAATAAACAAAAACAAAAACAATGCAACACCCCCCTTTTGTGTTTGTGGGGTTACAGTGCAAACCTAACAATCAGGAAGTTAAGGGGTAGCGACAGCGTGATTTAAAAAAAATATATCTGCAGCGCCCCCTTCTGTTAGTTAGGGCTACTTGTTGAGAGATTTAATGACCATTTCCTAGCTCGTAGATTGCATGCAGTTGGACGTCGTTTTGTCATATGAGATGGTTTATATGCAGGGTTTCAATATCCTGACGGTTGGGTAAATATCCTGAGGGAAATCAGTGGGCAATAAAACAAAGGTTCCATCATTGACTTTGCTCAAAAACGCTGATTTATCTCCGCCCGGCCAATAACAGCAGACAGCCAGCTCTCAACTGCTCACCTCGTGCTGCAGCCGCAGCAGCAGCCGCAGCAGCAGCAGCAGCAGCAGCAGCAGCAGCAGCAGGCGCAGCAGAGCCACATGACGTTTTCCCATCCTCCCTCGGCTTCCCTTTATCTGTAACGCTAACACACAGGAGCTAAATGTTTTCTGACAACAAAGTGTTAGCTCTGCCTCCCTCTGGTTCTCTCTGGAGGAATACTGCAGTAGAAATACGGAAAGGCAATCATGGCCTCTTTCAATTTCCTTCTGTGCAGCAGTTTGGCTTCCGATGTGGATTTTTTTTAAATTTTTTTTTTTAAAGATGCTTTTATGTTGGGTTGAGTCAATGCTTCATCTACAAGACAAAGTAACTGATCTGTGCGTCACAGAGGTCAGGGTCCAGGTATAAGAAAAATGTAGGGACAAATATGGTGGTGTGTATTGTAGCCAGTAGCTGCTGGTGTATTAACTTATTTGACCGACCTTTTGTCACAGGTCACTGTTTCAAACGTGTCACTCACTCCCTCCTCTGGAGTGTTTTAGAACTTCACGACTCTTAGTTATTGATTTTTTTTTTCCACTTAGGTGACTGGTATTCAAAACGTACGTGTACCACGACTGGTACAGACAGTCGGCTCCCTCTAGTGGTATATATATAGTTATACGTATACAGAATTTGAAATAGTTTAAGGCTTAGGACAAGAGGCCTACCAGTGTGTGCACATTTAGCTTCATATGTGCTGGCTCAGGCATGGGCAAACTATGGCCCGGGGGCCAGATACGGCCCCTATTTTGATCCAGCTCGCCAAACTTGTCCAAATGATGTTATTCATTAATATTACTGTTGATGTACGATTAGGGTCAAATTTCCAGGTATTTCTATAGGATACGTTCCTGTGCCACCGTGTGTTTGTGCCTCTGACAGACGTGTCAGCAGCTTAAGCACAGATGGAATAAACAGACCGGGTTCATTTTCACTCTGATTTTCCACTCCACTGCTGATTCCTTGGGCTGAAAACAGACTGATGTGATAAAAGCGGCTAAAATCTCCATTTATCTGGAAGGAATAATTGATATTCACTGTGGTTTCACCAAGTGACACTTTTCCCATTTCATTTGTCGTCGCCTCCACTGATAGAATCGGCTCTAAAAAATGAAAGTGGCGAATTTCAAATCTGACCCCAGCCTTCACAGAACGGAGTGTGTTTGATGCCAGAAACTTAAATCTGAACTTTGTTGTCATTTATACTTTTTAAAAAAATCTTTTTTTGTATCGATTTCGGCCGTCGTTTTTAATGCTTTTTGCAGACGGAGGCTGCAGCGACAGTTGATCTCACATTTTTTGGTCATATTTTTTTTATCCAGCCCATGATGAGCACAGAGCCTGGGTTCATTAAAGTGGAGGAGGGTCCACTGCAGCAGCTCAGTGCTGGAGTGGATCAAATCCAACTTCTTCACCGTCAGTCTATTAAAAGACACAATCTTACCTCCTCTGCTAATGCTAATTGTCCTGTGCCACCAGGGCTGCACTTCAGGTCACATTTGGGTTTCTTTCACCAAGCAGTGCATCAGAAAATACCCCCCCCCCACCCCCTCCCTCTCTCTCTCTCTCCGACCTCTCGGAGCTTATTGTTCGCCTGTCGTCCTTAATTCCTGTTATTCACCTGTGCACAGAACGGCTTCGGAGGGATATTCTGTCTGACAGACGGATTTTCTTTTCATCCACGTTTTTTAAGGCTGCGTCTGAGTCACAACAAAATTACAGCGCGATGGCCTGACACTGAGGAGAGACACCTTTGATCCCACATGGCACAAAAAAACAAAAACAACTATGACTGTCACCAAAATTTCAGACCTTTGATATGTTACCGTCGCTTTGTCCAAGTGTCTTTTTTACATTTTATATATTTTTGTTATTGGTTTTTGTGTTTAAGCTACAGTCTGGTCGAGTTTATTTATTCGAAATAATCAAAATTCAGACGTTGCATGGTGGGGTTGTGGGTTTGATTCCACACTTGATAGGACATATGGTCCACCCCAGCTGCAATGGATCATTGTTTCCCAAACACTGGGTCTCGACCCTCAGGTGGGTCGCAAGAGGTTTTTTTTGGGAAGTCTCGCATCATGTTGCCCAGGAGTTTACGAATAATGTCTATTGACTTGGGTCGCAAAGGTTTGTGATTTTTAAAATATGGGTCCCCAGAAAAGTTAGGGAAACTGGTTTAGAATATGTATCACTAAAGCTACCGCTAGTTTTTGGACTAAACTACAATACCAATTTATTTTCCTACATCCATAGAATACCCTTGTATATGGGTCAAACTTTCAAACACAATAAGATGTAAGTCTCTAAAATGCCTAGATGGCCAAACCATAGTACTGCACAGTGTCAAGTGCTCGGAGTGGTCATCAGGACTAGTACACATTAATCGCAGTTTTTTACTCGTTTGGACGATAAAAAAACAAAACTTAAATCCTTGGAAAAAAACATCTGCCCTTTTTGCATTTTTTTTTTCTTACACCCACCGCAGCCGACCGGCTGCTGCAATAACTGCTTAATAAAAGCAATAAATCTAGCATACAATGAACCGACTCCTCATGTGAGCGTCAGAGTGAAATATTGCGAGAAGATAAAATCAAATCATCGAAGCCGCCTTCCATTAAATTAGGAGGTGAATGTGTGATACATTACACCAAACCACACACTCGCACCTGTTTATGTAAAAACAGGCGAGAAAAAAAATTCCCTGGTGTCAACATTCCTAGTGGCAGTAATTATGTATTTACACCTGTCGGTGGTTCTGGACTGTTTTGTTAAAGAGTGGAATGAATGAATGATCCAGGCGTCGGTTCAGGAAAATCAAGTTTGAAGTGGACTCCAACGTGTGTTTTTTGTTTCAGTTAGCGATGCGGAATGCTAATGTATGTGTGCATTTATTACCTTGGAGGGAGTTAGCAGCGCTCACCATGTTTGGGTGAGGAACACCGCAGGTCTGCAGGATACATGTCTGAGAGATGCTGGCAGAGAGCATCTCCTGAGCTGCAGCGGGGGAGACGGAGGGGGGGGGGGGGGGGGGGGGGGAAATGTTTTATTATCAGCTTCATATTCGTCAGTGAGACAGTACACACAAACGAACACATGCATGTGAATGTGATCGATTCGAGCTAAAGGCTAATTTCCATTGCTAGCCCCCTTTGGCGAGGTAATTTAATCACATGCAGGACAAATACTGTGATAGATACACAGTTCATGTTATAGTACATTATTCTATGCTGCACAATGCACTTTTTGTTTTCATGCAAATAAGTTGCATTTTAAATCCCCACAATGCAAAAGTGGTTTGTGCTTGTGCCTTACACAAAGGGGGTTGATGGTTCAATTCCCATCAGTAGCTGATCACTCGGATTGGTTCCAATACAGGTTATTTTTTTTTTAGTGTGGTGATTAATTGCTCGTGCAAAAGTAAATAATGCAAATTTTGACCAATGAAATCCCTCGGTTTCCCCCAGCTTCTGCCTCTGGTCACAGATGAACAAATACCTGGGCTTCTCACCTGCCATCATACCGTAGGTGGCCTGCTGGTTGCTGTAGTGACAGGGGGTGACTGGGTAATGAAGGCCGGGGGGGCTGTTCCCCAGAGCGTTGCCGAGGGAGGTCGGGGACAGATGCATGTGGGAGCGTTTGGACGTCTGACCCAGGGACAGTCCAGACGAGACTGGTGAGCACAAGAGAAAAATACAACGTGATCAAAGAGCTAAACAAGAGGACAGAGGTCCTAAATAGGTGGTCTGTGAACCCCAGGGGGGTTCAGAGGTACGGCGGTGAGGTCCTGGAGTTTTTAGTAGATCGTACAATTTAAAAAATATATATAAATGATTATTAATAGAGAGAGAGAGAGAGAGAGAGTAAAATACATATATACATACATATATGTATCCCTTTGGCCCTGTCTGACTATATGTACATATTTTTTTGATGTATATATGTATATATACATCTAAAAAACATATACATACATACATGTATATATAAATATATGTATATATGTACATATACATCTAAAAATAAATAAAAATAAATACATATATACATATATGTATATATATATATATATAAATATATATTTGTAAACCTTAAAATTGTAAAGAATACCATAAAAAAAGCAACTTTTATCACCATAATGTATGAACCAAACATTAATTGTCTAAACTGGACGATGAAGAAAAGATTCTTTAATTTTGAATTATATTTCTGATCAAGGCCTGTCAGAGAGATACCGTTTGGCTCCGAGCTGCTTAATTAAAAATAAGCTAATTGTTGTTTTAGGGGGAGTTTTTTTTTTTTTTGGGGAGATTTTGGTAGTGGTCCGGGAAAACAAAACAAAACAAAACAAAAAAAATCTCCTGTCAGTGGATTTTTCTTTGTTTGTAATAAATCCAGGAGGAAAATCAAGCATTCAGACGCTGTGTCAAAGTCTGAAGAGTTTGGTTTTTAACAGATGCACCAGTGAAGGAAGCACTTCCCTCTGAAGACCGCGCTCGGCGGTGAGCGGCTAATGCTCTTTTCTGGCCTTAAGTGAATCTGAATACAGTTGAACGTCGTTCCGTCCATGTCCTCGGCTAATTACAAAATTATTCATTTATTCATCTTTTAATGCAGCTTGGTGTTCACTCCCAGCACTAATGTATTCTCACTGCTGTTGGTGAGATTACGTATTCTCAGCCGGCGCGGTTTCGTCCACACGGGTCAAGATTTGACTGAGGTTCCCGTCCTTGGTGAGTGCGCGGTGAAGGATACGGTTAAAAACGCGGTGCTTCAAAATGATTCGTGCAAAAAATAGTGAGAATTTAATTATACATTTAATTATTGATTAAAAAATGTTCCTATCTGTCAACTTAATATTCTGTATAATAACAATTGTCTGCTCCTTCATTAACGAGTGAATCATTATCTGAGCAGTGAATCAGTTCAACCTACATATGATCAAACCTCTGATGATCTTTAAACGAGTCTATGATTAAAGTTCAACTCGGCCAAACCCTGGTCTCCTCTGAACAACAACAATCAGCAGGCCTTTATACACAGATATACAGAGGAAGTGCCCCCCCCCCTCTGGTCCCCTCCTCCCCCACAGGAGCTCTATGGAGAAGAAGACCTCAGGGATTGTAACATAATGATAACATAACCTCAAAGCGATTATGCGCTGAGTACAGACAGCTGGGCCGACCCAGCTGATTACATACATTTACATAATGTGGATCAGATTTGAATAAATACATTTTTTCAATTCACTCCGACCTCTTTGCAGCCAGAGAGCACAACCCGAGGAGGCAACACTCGGCGCTCGCAAAGCGCAATCGGGTCACTTGTGCATCTATAAGTGGAGCTCGTCGTCCTGTGACTCCAGTCACGTGACTCGGACGGGCCGCTCCTGTAACGCTGTCATTAAAGGTGGAAACAGAAAGAATTCGACGGTCGTGTCGGGATGCAGTCACGCTGGCTTACCTGCAGATACCATGCTGTGGGCGTGTGAGACGCCGGGAGGTGGACAGTCAGAGGCCGCGCTGTGGTGCATGAGGATGGGTAACGTGTTCTCTCCGGCCAGTGGAGCGAAGGAGTCGGTGTTGAACGCCTGACAGGCCATTTCTTCCCCGGGCCCGATCTCAGCGGTGCGAAAAGATGTGACGTCTCGTCTCTGCTTACCTTCGTGTTCCTATTTCCTCTAGTTTCCCGTCATTACTCTGAAGTTCTTTCTCGTCCGGAAGAAAACTGTTAAATATCACTTGTTAGCTAGAACTTTAGCCTTGGTTTCTTTCAGGTTTTTTTTCAGTTTGAAACAGGTCGACTCTCTCGGCTAAGATTCTCAGTGTTGAGCTAAAGTTTGAGATATGATACGGGATTCACACTGGTCTGTGTTTGATACGCTTGTCATCAAAATCCCTCAAACCGAGGGTTTTCGCCGACCGCTGTCGTCTACTGCTGGTATTTATATCCTACCCGTCTGGTCCTAACCACCCCTCTCAGCACGTCCTATCAGGCTGCTCGCCCCCCACCTTCCAACCCTAATGTCAGTGTTGTTATTACCTGTGTTTGTCCTACCTGCGTTCTTCCCGGCCCACTTCCAAATCCAGGATTAGGGTAGAGAGCCAGCTGAGAAACCCGATCTCTTCCTTTTTTCTTGTTATCTCTCCGTCCCTCTGCCTGATTACAGGTTGGTATTGTGGAGGAAAAAAGAAACGAACACTTCAATCACATCAGACTAATTGTCTGGCTTTGTTTTACAGACGGCCGAGGAAAAGGAGTTAAATTAAAAGTACAGTCGTCCCTGGCTGTGTCGCAGTTCGGCTGTCGCGCCCTCAGTGCGTCGCGTCGCGGGTTTTTAATATTTTAAATGTATTCTTGTATTGCGGATTTTTTGCTCTATCGCAGGTTTTTGCGTTATACAAAAAATTCAAAATTTTGTAACACGTACATACAGGATATTTCAAGAAATAACCTGTACATATGGGTAAACTCGATTTGTGAAAGTATCGTTAATTTTTTTTGCCATATTTCACGTCCTAAAAGGTTAATAAAGGGTTAATATTTATATGTGAATAATATAACAACTATCGCATCTCTACGATGCAATTGTGGGCGTGTGAGACGCCGGGAGGTGGACAGTCAGAGGCCGCGCTGTGGTGCATGAGGATGGGTAACGTGTTCTCTCCGGCCAGTGGAGCGAAGGAGTCGGTGTTGAACGCCTGACAGGCCATTTCTTCCCCGGGCCCGATCTCAGCGGTGCGAAAAGATGTGACGTCTCGTCTCTGCTTACCTTCGTGTTCCTATTTCCTCTAGTTTCCCGTCATTACTCTGAAGTTCTTTCTCGTCCGGAAGAAAACTGTTAAATATCACTTGTTAGCTAGAACTTTAGCCTTGGTTTCTTTCAGTTTTTTTTTCAGTTTGAAACAGGTCGACTCTCTCGGCTAAGATTCTCAGTGTTGAGCTAAAGTTTGAGATATGATACGGGATTCACACGGGTCTGTGTTTGATACGCTTGTCATCAAAATCCCTCAAACCCAGGGTTTTCGCCGACCGCTGTCGTCTACTGCTGGTATTTATATCCTACCCGTCTGGTCCTAACCACCCCTCTCAGCACGTCCTATCAGGCTGCTCGCCCCCCACCTTCCAACCCTAATGTCAGTGTTGTTATTACCTGTGTTTGTCCTACCTGCGTTCTTCCCGGCCCACTTCCAAATCCAGGATTAGGGTAGAGAGCCAGCTGAGAAACCCGATCTCTTCCTTTTTTCTTGTTATCTCTCCGTCCCTCTGCCTGATTACAGGTTGGTATTGTGGAGGAAAAAAGAAACGAACACTTCAATCACATCAGACTAATTGTCTGGCTTTGTTTTACAGACGGCCGAGGAAAAGGAGTTAAATTAAAAGTACAGTCGTCCCCGGCTGTGTCGCAGTTCGGCTGTCGCGCCCTCAGTGCGTCGCGTCGCGGGTTTTTAATATTTTAAATGTATTCTTGTATTGCGGATTTTTTGCTCTATCGCAGGTTTTTGCGTTATACAAAAAATTCAAAATTTTGTAACACGTACATACAGGATATTTCAAGAAATAACCTGTACATATGGGTAAACTCGATTTGTGAAAGTATCGTTAATTTTTTTTGCCATATTTCACGTCCTAAAAGGTTAATAAAGGGTTAATATTTATATGTGAATAATATAACAACTATCGCATCTCTACGATGCAATTTCTTCGCCTATCGTAACTCAATGTTTCCTCGTATCTCGAGGAAAATCTTGCAGAAGTTGCTTATACGTAATTTGGAGAACTCTATTTATAGAAGTATTTCGGAGTCGCTCGTATCTTGAAGCTCCACTGTATCGCCGTGAACATGTTTATTCTGAAAAGCCCTGTATTTAGAAATCCTTGCTCCAAATAATATGCTTAAAATATGGTGAAATACTGTGAGATTTTCATAAGTTCCGTCTCAGCCTGCATGTTTACCCCGGAGCACTGCTCGGTGAACTCAATTCTGAAGACACGGAGCTGAAATTCCCCGCAGGAAAAGCTGGGTCTAAATTGGCTTGTTTTTTTTTATTTTTTGTGCAGAATGACTGAGTTTGACCTGCAGGTAAGAGGCGCTGCTTTGAGCCCGCAGCCAAAAGCTGCTGTCACAGTTTCTCAGAGTGAGTGGAAGAAAAACAGTACCATTGTTCAGGAACGCTGGCCACATTGTGTCCAACGCAGAGTGCCCCGGGTAGAGACAACAGGTCTCTTCAGGAGGGATCATGGTTAATCCAAGAAGCGTGGCCACATGTACACCCTGTTGTGTCTGTTTGTGTTTATGTTTATCCCGGCCTGTGCTGGGAGTATTGTGAGTATATGTAGGTGGGCAGCAGGTGAAAAATAGCTTGTGGGTGGCAGACACGACGTGACTTGCACAAGCAAAAAAAAAAAAAAAAAAAGATGAACATGAGGAAAGCTTCTCTTTCTCCTCTTTTCAATTCTATCATTTCTTACTGTTTAGGTCAGGGGTCAAGATGACTTTACCCAGGGCCACATCGGCATCATCACTGCCCTCGTTTCTATTCTTTCATTTGGATATTGAATATTGACATAGAAACAAATGTCTGCAAACAGCCCTGCAGGGGGCGCATACTGAAAAACATACTGTAAAAGCGTGATTACATGATGACACACATGTAGATACAATACATTGGATTTGTTACTTTATCTAATTCACCAAAACAATAAAAAATTATATTGGACGTGGAATGACTTGATGATCCAGATCATGGTCCGCGAGCCTTGGGTTTGACACTTGCGGTTTAGGGACAACTTAAGTCATTTCCAAGCAATTATTTCAAACTTTGCCACTCGGGTGGACAATAAAACCTCAATTCAAATCCAATAAGTGGAAACATGGAGTGACTCGTCCCAATTCCCAGTCATGGTGATAGATGTGAATCCTGAATCAGATCTTTGATTAAAAAGAGTCAACGAGCCTCAGCGCTGATAATGAAAGTCTTTGTGACAAATAAGCGAGGAAATCACAATGGACTTTGACAAATCCCATTTCATCCTTTTCAAGGCTCAAAGTAAACAAAACAAAGCTGCGATGCTAAGGAGGAAGTCAGATCTAATGCCGTGTGACAAGAAAAAAAACAACAACAAAAAAACGCAGCAACACAAGTTTCATCAAACATTTTCTCTCTCTCTCTCTCTCTCTCTCTCTTCCCTCTTTACAGCCAATGACTCCCACTCAGGCTACACACCATCTACCCAGCTGGTCAGTGCAGACTTATTTTCGTACACCAAGACAAAACGACCCATTGTTTAAGAGCGAGCTGTGAGCCACTGTGGAAATTAAAAAAAAAAACCGTAATAAAATAGAAAAGTCTGTCAAAAATAATGTCGAACAACAATGTCGTCAAATTAGGCAGAACTGTTTGTGGATGGATTTTCATTTACATTTTTACATCATATTCAGTGACAAATGTGCAGCTCAGCAGCTGCTGCGTGACTCCCTGCCGTGTTGACTCCAGGCTGACACAACAGTAAACAACGAGTGACGGCACAGACACAGAGAAAACCCTTTCATGAGATCAAATCCAGCCCGGCTTCAAATGTTTTAAAAGTGTGAGTTAAACCGACAAATAAAAATGTCCATGTGTTCAGTAAAAGGCAACTGTTGTCAACTTTATATGGAACGTAACAACTGTTGGCTGGAAAACCATGTTTGGTTATTGGGTCTGAACAAGTTTATTCAATTACTGCAAAAAATCTGTGTTTGTCAATGCAACAGTGAACAATGACATACCCTTCCACTAGGTGGCAGCTGCAGGATATAAAGCAAAAAAAAAGAAAAAAAAAAAAAGAAGAGGGGCAGATTGTAGGCTATTTCAGAATTTTGTGTTTTTCTTGAATTCCTGCGATCACATCATCAGTGTTCAACTAAACAGGCACCGGTTTCATACTAAGTGATATTTTCTTTCAGTATTTTTTCTTATTATCAAAACACAAATTCACGCTAATTATTTACACTGAGTGACACATTTTTCTTCCTTTGGTTGTTGAGTAATTGGTGGTTTGTCTGTCTGCACTAATGCTGCCCTCTGTGGGGATTTTCTGAAAATGAAAAATATATATTTTTAACAATTGAAACAAGACACTTATATAATACACCTGTAGATGGCGGAAAAGCAAAATAAACAACAGAGAGCCAAAAGCTAGCTAGCAGATTAGCTTGGCTTAGCAAAGTAACGTTTTTTTTCCCAACATTTTTCAAGACTATTTTTCCAAGATGTTTTCCGAGATGTACAAAAACTCACTGCTGACTAGCCAATCAGTGACTGTCCTGCGTTAATTTCATCACATCCATTCTGAGATCCACTCAAATCCAGTGCACGAATTAAGGTGGTGCACTTGTCCTGTTCTGATTCATCCTGAATAAATATTTTCTTATATTTTTGTTGTCAGATATTTGCTTCGACCGACTCGGTTGTTCTGCTGTGATGTCATGAATACATTCATGAGGAGTCCGAACTATAATTGAGGCAGAAACACAAAACCGTGTGCGTTGTAGAAAGCAGCAGTTCACAAATGTCAGGCCGGTTTAATGAATTCAATTTTGGTTTTTGTTTTTTTTTTTTTGTTTTTTTTTTTTTGGGAAAAGTTCATCAACGTTTTGGAGATGTGACCTGTGATCAAAAAGACTCTCAGACTCTGGAGAGGCCACGTGGATTTTAGGCTAAAAGAATCTGGATTAAAGGCCGAGGGAATGGAAAAGACAACCCTTTCCCATAGATAGACCGGCACACACACACACACACACACACACACACACACACACACACACACACACACACACACACACACATATGACGAGACAATTTAATTAGTGAAAAGACTATGAGTCAAAGGGGTTCCCTAAAGCACCTGTCCTGGATCCTTTGCACACACACATACATGTACTCACTGATGCACACACACACACACACACACTCAGTCAACAGGATGCTTCAATCTTCATATATAGCCTGTTAGCCTTATCGCTAATACGGGCCATAAAGACACATTATATCAGCCATAAGTAAAAGTAGAAACACTTTCTGTCCACACACACACACACACACACATATCCAGGTGGAGCGCAGAGCTGTGACTCATTCTCACAGGTATCAACATACAGTGTCCGTGTGTGTGTGTCCGTGTGTGTGTGTTTATGGTGTGTATTACTTGTGTTTTTGTTTTTTTTTCACTCTGTGGACGTGTTGGGAAAATGTCACGACCTTTAACAACAATTAAAGCAGCAAAGAAACAAAGAAGCCTCACACGTTTAACTTCAAACTGAATTATTTCCTCATTTGCACTTCAGCAAACTGTGAGTGTGTGTGTGAGTGTGTGTGTGTGTGACAGCAGAGCAGCAACAAAACTAGAATGTAAAGAAGTGTAAAGTCCAC